CCCCCAAAACCCCAAAACCCCAAAACCCCAAATTTTTAGCATAATTTGAAATTTAGCAAAATCATGGAAACTGGTTATTTTACAAAACCTTCAATAGGAAAGAGCAAGGCGCAGCAATTACTAAAATCATATTGCTTTCTGAAAATCTTACAATTTCTTACACCGCAAGAAATAGTAGTGCTTCAGATATTAAACCGAAGGTATTTTTAGTAACATTTTGAGTGCAATTTCCACAATATTTGGCTTTGAATATCTGGATTTCAGACACCACATAACTTTAGGTTCTACGATGACATAATTCCTTTGGCAATCAAGCAAATTGATATTTGAAGGTAAGATCAATGTCAAACTTTGAGCTATGATAATTATAAAAACTTCTATTGCACAGATCGTTTTGTGTGCTAGGAAGTTCTTAAACTCCCTCAAGAATTAGGCTCTTCTTGCTTTTGAGCATCTTGATGAATACAGATATTTAGGTCTCCTTGTCAAGGAGCTGTGATGTTGATTAAAGACAAAATAATGATCGGTAAGATTGTTATTTGGTTAATAACATTAGTTGAGCTTCCGCACATCAGACTGATACAATTGAGTAACTACCTCTGTTTAATCTCTAGGTGGCGCCTGGAAGTTAAGCATGTTTGACCAAGGCACTAGTGTATGTGTGAACAATAAAGGAAATGAAGTATGGCTCAGCTCTGGATTCCCAATCTCCCAGACCAGACTTGACAAGGTACAATCTTTATTATTCTTGTAGGAAGAACATAACAATTAAAATCTTTGGAAAACTTTATAAAAGTATTTCATTTGAGTAATATGTAGTTGATATATTCAAAGTTCCATATTTAGCAGAGGAAAGAGAGTCTATGGATATACCAAGATATGGACATGCCCTGATTCATCATAAAAATATGATCTTTGCCATTGGAGGTAGTGACAATTTGAGTGCGTTGAAAACTGTAGAAGTTTACTTTCCATCCAAAGATTACTGGGAAAAAATCGAACCGCTTCAGACAGCCCGAGAAGACGTCACTGGATGAGTTGCTAACGAAAGAATCTACATATTCTCAGTCAATCTTCTACACTCAGAATCAAACACCATAGAATACCTTGATATCAGCATAATATACAATTCCTGGGTTCAGATATCTTTAAAACTAAACAACGTGTCATTCCCAAAGACTGTTAGTTGCTGCTACCACCAAAAATCCGATGAGATCCTAATCCTCGAGCCCAAAACCCGCCGCCTGTGGGAACTCCCACTCTCTTCAGACTTCACCGCCTTCAGGCTCAACATAAAATCTCCTTTGCTTCAAAAATTCCTTCAGGTGGTAGAGACTGAACTTCCTGGAGTTTTTTAAAAATTCAAAAATTTTACAGCTAAATGGGGTTTTGGGGTTTTGGGGTTTTGGGG